CGAGTGACTGAAGGTGATAGGCGTCACGTTGAATGCCTGTAAGGCATTCAACGTTGATATGACACTTAGTCATGTTTTATTACGCATCTCGCTAGCATTCCAAAAGTTCCCACACGAGGGAATTCTCAAGTTAAGTCCCAAATCAAGAAAAAACGAAACCAATGGGAAACACGCACGAAATGATCGCTCGAAAACGACAAGATGCTACTTACCAAAAACGGATGAGGTCTTAAGGGTGTTCTATGCTAAGTATTCAGCCTGGTGTTTATGGGAAAGTTAGTCTGCTCAACTTATCGAGTTTCCCTTTTTACGACGACTTCAGAACATAAATTTTGTCAGTCATTCCTGCAGTAGTTTCTTTTGAGTAATTTGTCCCTGCGGAGAGACAAAGTCTTTGATCATCACAATGTATCATCGTCCTCTACAATGCATTACCATCCGACCACAACGTATTATCATTTTCCTGTCATACTTTTCGTATTCTTCTTGTCTTACCTATGCGCTTTTTGTCTATATACCTCTTATAAAAGGACTCATTTTACGAAACTGATGATACGCCCCCAAAATAGAGGAAAAGCAATGTCACCCGTTTTGATAGCGAGGCTCCCAAATTCCGATCATTCCTGACGTCAAGCTACCTGACTCCAATACCATGTTCGATTGTCCAAAATATGAAGATATGAAGCGGAAATTGTTTTACCCGGAGTGACTTGAATGGTGGTTAATGTTTTCGATGCTTTCAAAGACATAAAGATATATCCGGGGAAATAGATAAGAAATAAATAACTGGTCAACAAGTATTCCCGCCAAACGTTTGTGATTTTTTCAGCATTGAATGCTTTCTGACGTAAACGCTACTTGTGTTCCGAGGATATATACGAATAACGGTTGATGCCGCATATGCTCTTTTGTATTAGTGTAAAGACGTTGCATTCAGCCATGCTTATTTTGAATAACTTAGACTGAATTTAATTCAGGCATGTACCTAGATGACGTGTACCTCCATTCTGGTTCCAAGCTTTTGCAACTCGTCTTAACTAATGTTTTGCATTAAAGGTATGTTCGATTTGCTTTAATTATCGAGAGGGATGTTCAAGTTTCCCAGCGGCCAGGGCTTAGCCATTCAACACATCTTCCAGTGGCAATTTTATTAGCGGCAAACGTTTACGGACCACTGCCAATATTTTGGCGTTGTTGATTGCGTTTTTCGATGATTAGGAGGGTTGTTGGCGGTTTCATGTTTGTGCTGTTAAGGACGGATCGTTTCTTACCGACGTTATCTGGCTTTAGGGTAATTTCAAGAGCGTTTCAGTCTCCTGTAAGTATTTGTGGAGCATACACGTTTGAGCCATGCCTTAAACATTCATTCAGCAACAGGATAAGAGTAACGCCTAGGAAACTGCCCTTCAGCTGCCCAGGAAGCCACCCTTCAGCTGCCCAGGAAGCTGCAGCTGTCCTTCTCTGCACTTGGCCGGGTAGTGACGACATTTAGCTTTCCTGTAACTCGCAGCAGAAGAAAATGTGTGTAGAGAGGAATAAAATATGTCGCGCTTGGGCGCCCTCACAATCAGGTCGAGTTGTGTAGATGCTTACGACAGGGCCGATGAAATCGACCATCTCATCGTTGCCGACACGCATGAGTGGGCCCGCTGGGAGAGGCTCCGCCAAGCTGAACTCTCCAACCGGGGCCGCCCTATGCCGCGTGGTGTCGGGACCGATTTCACACACTTGCCCGGAATGTGTGTCATTCTTATAAAAAACGTGCGGCGCCGTATCTCTGGCTCTAAAACCCAAGGACAAGGATGTAGTATGACTGTAACATGGGCGATGTTTCTATCTCTGTTCATGCATATATGGCATAGAAATACACTGAAATGGAGGAGAAGAAAGGTTCACTTTTCAAGTCAACTCCCTCTGCTGATCACCATAGGCAAGGGCGTATTCACAGTGTGAAGACACGGAGCATGCTCAGCGCCCTTATTCAATCTATCAAAGCTGTACATGTCAGATGTGTGCAGGAATCATGTTGAAACTAAACCTATCGGGGTGTACACGTTACAATAAGCGGACCGAAAACACACGATGTTGTTGTTTTCACCATGCAACATTGCACGCGCCTACGGTTCACTAAACTGCGGTTTCAGTAAAGAACGTTGAGCTGAGCCTGCAATCTCCCCTGTGCAATCCTGCATCCTTCATTGGCCGTAGAGTTGATGTGAAGAGTGGGCGCCATGCCCCCTCAGCACTCTGAGCCCATGCAGATGCCGCTGCAAGCGGTGTTGCCTCTGCAAACGTCATTCGGCGCACTTCTGCGTACAGTACGCGACCCTGGATTAGAGAAAAGGGAAACATTGAACCTATAGGTGTTGAATGGAAGAAAATGCTCGAAGGTGGCTGTCAGCCCCTTTCCATTTGGGAGGGCGTCCGGCGCCCCTGTACTTGCCGAATGGCCTTGAAGACTTGCCCCCCCCCCCCCCCCACTCCCCTCTCGGCACAGATAAGTCGTTAGGGTTCCGGATTTCTCGGGCTGGGTGTTTCTCAGAGACTCTCAGGTCACCCAGAGCGAGAGCCTACCATCGGACCGGTCAGTGAACTGAAGAGTCAATCTGAAGGCAGACCATGCCTGTTATCCCGCTGCTGCGGGCATCACTTGGCATAGTGCTATTCCTGCGACAGGTGATAATCCGCCGGGCAATGCCATCTCCTGGGTTGGAGCCGGTCGAGGACAGCCTATCGAGGAATGGTATTCATAAACAATAATACGAACTAGCGGTTTTTTTCATTTCCATCGTATGGGCTGATGGACGACAACCTACGCAGGCCGACCAATGCCTGCCAGTTAACGATGGACGTTTAATCGAGAGCTTAAGCAAAAGGAGCTTGTATCCGGTTCTTATGCTTACACAACATAACTAAAAGTGCGCAAATTTAAGCTTCGCTTATGTAGCTAGGCTTATGTCGGGCCTACTCATGACTTCCGATGGCTGCTACCGCTCGTTTTGAAAAATGGAATTCGCTTCGAAGCCCAGGATATGACCGTGTGTTTTATCTATCTGACTGTCACGCTGTCTACTTCCTTGTCTCTCCCCTCCCCTTCTCTCGTACCCATCTCTCACTCCCTCTCCGTCTCAACTCTCCCTCTCATCTGCTCTCTGCCTTGGCTTTCACCTCTCTTTTTGTTCTCTCCTCGTATTTCTTCATTTCCTCGGACGCCCTTTTGTTCCTGCGGTACTGAAGGGGTCCGCACCACCGCTGATTGGCCAGCCCACGACCAGGCCCCGCCCTCCGGCTGAACGCCAGCCACTTGGAAAGCGTAGCTGACGGCGGCGGCGGGGCACCAGCTCTCGAGCGCGAGAGGCGTCTCTGAGAGGCGGCGTTGTTCGGGGAAGAGTGCTTCTCTTCTCGGCGACACGCAGTCTGGAGAGGAGAGTGAGTGCACACAGTGGGTTGTTGAGGGCTAGTGCAGAGCTCGCCGATCTTCAGCACGCACTCGACTGGGTCGCTCCACGTGCCTCTCATCTGCGCCCGCCTCTCGAGATACGGCGGCAATAAATTGCTGAGATACCCGCGCAAAGTCGACAAAACATAACGAGTGAGTGGCTGACAGTGATTTTGAAGCACTGGTGCATGCTGTGGAGTTTGATACGGGCTTTGAGTGAGTGAACAGGTAGAATGGTGGCATTTAAACAAGATTGAGATATTGACAGCTCTTCACAATTGAGCGATGAAGGCTTCCTACTCTTCACAAAGTGGACTTTACTGTCGATGATAGGCGACTTGAAAAGCTTAAAGCACTGAACAAATTTCGGGGGCAAAAGTGCGTCAACCATCATTGAGCCTCGTACTTTAACCTTTTAAAATCATCATGGATGGGAAAGTCCACCTCCTATCTCTATGATAGCGGCAGCGTGCACCACCGAGCTACTCGAAACCGTCCGAGATTTCCTGGCATCTGAGTGAGTGGCACTTGCGTGCGTCGGTAGAATGTGGGACCCCGCCGGCCCGCGTCGTCGACGCCGCCGAATGCACCCACTAGAGCTGTTTGCTCCCAGCAGCGATTGCTCGCCCCACTATCGGCGGTGGCCCGGTGTTGACGCACCGTCAGCTTCATTACGCACATCGACTCGCTGAACAACGGCAGGAACGCCATGTGGAAATGATCACCCAGAATGGTTTCTCCGGCGCAGCGAGCGGGTTTTGACGCCGTGGAACGTGCCGTTCGACCACAGCTGAAAATTAAATTCTTCGATGATTTGTTCCTTGCGTGGTCTCAGAAAATCATTGCACATTGGACAGCGCAGATCATCGGTCGAACGTCTGCCAGGGGCCAGTGACAATGGCTTGGCATCGCGCAGGCGACCGTCGTGTGCAGGTGTGGTAACGTGCGTGCACGACGGTTTGTCCGGGGCACTCGGCCCAGCTGCTTCCGCCAATGCCAGTGACGCGTCCCCTCTTGGCATGCTTTCTTGGGTGAGCGTGCGTCACCATGTGCGGGACACACGTTTGTGCCTCGCCGCCACTATCGCTTGGAGGCGACGCAGCTAGTCCCCTTCAGGGCCACTCCGCATTTTACTGGCATTTCAACGTTGGATCGCCGAGATATTAGAGCCTCAGAGCATTAGAGCATCATCCTTCCTTTGGCAACCCAAAGAACGGTGTATAGCAAGAGATATATGCATGACAGCGTATGTTTACTATCTACCATTATGTTGATGTGCTGAAGCATTTATAGACATATAAACAAATTGCATATTTTGCACAAGGGGTTCCCCACAGATGTTACTAATCACCTGCATTACAATGTAATCTGATGCTCCGAATGCAGCTGACCCACCTCCGACCACCTCGCATTTAGAAACACAGGCGAATGTACGGCGGTTGGTTGACGTTCCCAGCAGCAGTATTTTCCCTCTGATCCCGCTGTTTTCCACGCAGTTTGACACAAAGTGCCCGTCGCGCTTCATGCAGTGTCCTCAGTGAGCCCATTCCCTGTTCTGCAGGCAGTTCGACATGAAGATGGCCATGCCTGGCTCCAAGTCCTCCAGCTTTACCGTGCGAGACATCCTGAACCTGGGGGAGGGCAAGCCGCCTGTGGGTTGTCGCAGACTCCGCGGGGCGCCGGCGAAGGTACGGTTCGAGTCGTGGTTGCCTGATCTGGCCAGCAGCGAGTCTGAGTCCGAGTCTGAGTCTGAGTCTGAGTCTGAGTTCGAGTCTGAGTCCGGGTCTGAATCTGAGAGGACGCTGCCCTGCCTGGAGGCAGTGGTTTCATCAACGGCGTGCAGATTCGACCTGATGGCCGATTTAAAAGGAATGCCCCACCATTGACACAAATTTCAAAATAAGACTCTAGTGAAACCTAAGGACTAGTTAGGTCTAATATTGGAAATGAGTAGTTCTACTGCGACGCCATCAAGACATAACAATAATAAAACTGTTTATCATATTTTCGAGTCCAAATCATGCTGTCAACGCTTTGCAAACAGTAATCCGCTCCTTCCCTGCAGTCGTGACAGCCGTCGCCATGACGACAGGATCTGCTGGGGGGGGGGGGGGGGGGGCGCTATCAGCTGTTACTGAATAACAGCAGTACAAATGAACGTTGGTGGTTGGCACAACGTACGGCAGGGGCCAGTTACCAGCTACATACTCCCTTTAAATCCTTGGTTAAAATTTGAACCAGTGCCCCGCTTCAAACCTTGTAACATTCCGTTTCCCAAAGCCCAAGTGCGCTTCGAAAATAGCCACTGCATTAAATGCCACTGGGGAGAAATCAAAACCATAGCATACCGTTTCGATGAATTCGCGGAAGAATAACGTCATGTTCGCATATTTTTTGGTCCAAACGGAGTGTTTCAATTTCTCGTATCATTGGTTGCAAAACATTTTGGCAAGTTTGTGTCCTGCAAACATATTGCACACTCGTTTTGGCAAAACGAATGCAAATGGAATGTGTTGCTTTCACTGTCGTGAACAGGAAGTCCGATGAGATTTCTCCCACAGGAGCGGGTACTCATATCGACATCCTGAGCTGTTCAGTAGGATTTCTGGAAAGCTGGTACGACTGATCAAATCGTACGGGTCAGATCTAATGATAAGAAAAATACAAAAGGTGGCATGAACACCCTTCAAATCATTGTATAGCATAATCCACACAAACGATAGCATCTTCACATACTTCTAATGACCCACTGTATATGCGACTTCTTCTGTGTATTTCTATACCGCAGTGATCAAACAGGTTGTCTTACACGCACCGTTTGTCATTACCTACTCCTCTCAACCAAAGCAACTATACGTTAAGGTTATATACGACCCCAAAGACATGTGTGTGCCATTGAAGCTTTACGACGCACTCAGCTACTGGGCCATATGGCGTCGCCTGTCTCTCACCCTGACAGGAAGCGCGGGCCACAGCTGGGAATCGAACCCCGTACTTCTGGTTTTCCAGACGCGCGGTGGTAAAACGCAGACGCGTTTACCACTACACTGCTGGTACCCGACACCAAAGACACGATGCTTTTGTGCAACGGTTTAAATACGAGTTCCGTAGGCACAAGTAAGACCGTTGGGCCTCGGCTCTTTGCCTTTGCAATACCAAAACTCCCCTCCCATCAAAGCCTTGGGCGAATTCTTAAACTTGATACGTCATATCAAAATTTTTGTCGCTTCTGCAGACTTGTACTTACCAGACTCGGACCCCCAAAATACTCGACCGAAGACCCAACCCAAACCTAAACTCCCTCGAGTCGCACTGACATTGTCTGCATTTCAGGCAGATGTATGGCCTGTTTCAATTATCATTGAGTCTACTCAAACAAACGCATGAGAAACAAATGATATTCTTACTCTTTCAGGATATCTCATCCTTACTCCGTCTGAGCTAAACATCAACTGTTGTAATAAGTACTTTCTCTGTATCTCATTTTTTTAAATGCAGTGATGCATAGGTTTCTGTACTTAAGAGAAAATGTGATTTTTCTGTGTTGTGCTCTCTTGAATCGACTATATCAGGACTAGTTCAGACACCTAATCAATTTCAGCATATAAGGGTCACAATTACAGTCGACTAACAAGGCGCCTTGTTGCTTTGTCTACGAGATGCAATCGATTCCACAGAAGAGGGATCCAGCGCGGATCTTGGCTTGTGAGCTCCGGCAATCATAAAAAAATAGTGCTGCTACGCCTATGTCATCGAGAACCACTGCTGCAAATATTTTGTCGAGCCGGACCGTGTCACCTTCACCAGATATGCATAAGACAGTAGTATTAGCCCTATTTCCTCGGAGAAAACCAGGAGAATGGGGATATAGTTGGGTTGATATTTCGGCAACATGCCTTTGTCGAAAAAATAGCAGAAGTGAATTCGAAATTGCCTGCCGATGATCCAGCTCGATTTTTCAGGTTTTTTTTTTTAAAACAGCAAGCCACAGTTTTTGCAGGACAAAAACTGTGGCCTTGCCGCTTCAGAAGAAAACCTGAAAAATCGAGAAGGATCATCGGCAGACAATTTTGAACTCACTTCTGCTATTGTTTCGATAAATGCATGTTGCCGGAAATATCAACCCAACTATATCTCCATTCTCTTGTTTTTCTCCGAGAAATAGGGCTATTTCTACTGTCTTATCTATGTGGTTAATGTTCCTCGTTAATGCACTGAAACAACTTCACCAAATATGCACAGATGTAGCATTCCTCGACAGGTTCCGATAGCTCTTTTGGTCCCATCACATGCTGCATGCTTCAAGGAGCTGATGTCTATTCCGTACGACGTCCTTCCCATCCACTGCAGGCGTTTAAGACATGCTTCAAATGCACTTATGTATTATTGTTACCTCAACCACGTCGCCAACCGCCTTACCGTCGAAGTGCAAGAGTCACACACACACACACATTCCCAGTCTCCAGATAAAACTGCATGGTTTTCGTAAAAGGATGCAAGTTGTAATGATGTAGTCGGTTTTCACTAACAAATCGTCGCCTTCGACTAACCCTCTCGCGCACCAATCCACTTTGCATGCTACTGAGGTGACAGAGCGCACCGGACCTCGAGCAATTACAGGCGTGTACTAACAAATTTCTCCCCAGTCTGCGTGAAGGGCATCTCGGGACGCTAGCCCAAGCTTGCCCCCCCCCCCCCCCTCGCCACTAACATGAGCTCGTGGCCCCTTCAACTTGCGCCTGTTTGAAACTGTCCGGGCACGCTCCTTCGGGCGCCTCTCCGGTATCACCTCTGACCTCCGCATGGCTTTGGTGTCGCCCGGCGGGCCGCACGCGCCCGCATGACGCCGCCTCTGTTCTAGTCGGCATTGCCCCAGGACGAGTACCTGCGGCGCCATGTACACGTCCCAGTACCCTTACCCGGACGAGGGGTACGACTACCGCCAGCCGGCGGTCGGGTACCGGCCCCGAGTACTACGACCCGCGCTGGGCTGGCCCCGGCCCCGCGGGCGTGTACCCCAGGTCAGTGGGCTGTGGCCCGGATTTGGAGCCCCCGTGTGGCATGCGCTCTACGCGGATGTAGCACAGGGACGGGCCGAGCGCTCCGCAGCGCGGGTGGGTGGGGGGGGGGGGGGGGGGGGCGGTGCTTGAGCGAGCTGCTGCGGGAGACAACACTGCCTCAGCTGCTTTTCGTCTGTGTTTAGGCGCTGGTTGCTGGGTGCTGGCCTGTCAGTCATGGTAAATCGCAAGTTCGGCAGTGTGGCAAGTGGTTTGCTTTCATTGCTCCCTGGTCCCCTTCCAGACACTGACGCACCCTTCAGACATGCCTAGGTTTCTGTACTTAAGAGAAAGCGTGATTTTCAAGATATGACCCACGCTCTGTCCTGACATCCGTCCCTCAGGTCGTCCGTAGGTTCTTCCCCTTATCCTGACTTTCGACCGTTGTCTCTGACTTCTGCACCTGCCTTCGACATCCTGATGCCTGCCGTCCGACCGTTTTCTGCCACTGCCTCTGACCTCCGAAACTGGACTCTGTCTCTGGCCCTGGTCCGTGACCTCTGCCTGCACACATAAACCCCGACCCCCTGACCCCCTCTCCTGCCATGGACACTGATCTCTGACCTCTGTCCGTTGCCTCTGATGTCTACCTTCGACCTTTGGCCCTGGCCGTGGCAGCCTTCCCTGCACTGGGCAGGTGACCTCTGACTTCTGGCCTGACCCTCAACCTGGTGCCACAGACGGGCTGGAGCAGACGACACCGCCGGGCGAGTTCTCCCGCTCCCACGTGCCCCGTCTCTCCCGAGGACGAAAGGAACGCGGGTACGCCAGCCCGGCCGGCCGACATCCCCGCTACCGTGCCGACGGCGCCGCGCGCCTCACCCTCAGTCGACACCGACGACGGCGCCGACGACGCCGAGAAGGAGGACGCCGCCACGGGCCGCAAGCGCAAGCGGCGCGTGCTCTTCAGTAAGTTACAGACCCACGAGCTGGAGCGACGCTTCCGGCAGCAGCGCTATCTCTCGGCGCCCGAACGTGAGCATCTGGCCAGCCTGATCGAGCTGACGCCGACCCAGGTCAAGATCTGGTTCCAGAACCATCGCTACAAGACGAAGCGCGCCACGCAGGAGCAGGGCGGCATGGATCTGGTGCCGCTGGGCAGCGCGCGGCGTGTGGCCGTGCCCGTGCTGGTGCGAGACGGCAAGTCGATGCCGGCCGTGTCAGCCGGCTATGGCGTGCCGTCGTTCGGCGGCGCCGTGGACCTGCTGCCGTTCAGCAGCGCCTCGATCCCCACCTCGGTGGTGGCCTCGATGGGCGCGCTGCCCGCCTACCCGCGCCCGCTCATTCAGACCCGCTGGTGGTGACGTCACCGACGCCGTGACGTCACGACAGGGCATGACGTCACTGGTAGGACGGTAGGGTGTGTGACTTCGCGGGCGCGGGGCGTCACGGCTGCGGTGACGACACTGGTGGTGTGATGCTGCTGACGCGGTGGCGGCGTCGGCGCGGTGACGTTACTTGAGCGGTGACGTCACATGCGAGTTGTAACTTCATGGCGGCGGAACACCGCCGCGGCCGGGTCTTGTGATATTAGAGAAGAGGTACAGCAGTGCCGATGTGGTGAGGTCTCGCAGAGAGCGAGACGGCGCATTGGCGGGACGAGCTGGGATTAGTGCATTCGCCGCGTAGGTCCGATGGGCAGGGGCACGCTTTCTTCGCCGCGATGAGCCGCGTTATACGATTGTGCCGATCATTCGTGGAGTACAAACTGGATCAAAGTGATTATCGGAGACTCCGCCGCCATCGTGCCAGTTCAGGAGTCGGCCTTCGCCACCACCGCTCTGTGCTACGCCTTCGAGCCAACGCAATCCTTCCGGAGGCGTGCGTCGTTTCCTTAGTCCGGGCACCCATGTTGCTGAACGGCGCAAAATCAATTGTGTTGCGCTGAATCGCACTTGCAGTGCCAAAGACACAATCGTTTGTCACAGGCGGCAGGAGGTCCGGGAGACGCGCCCGTGCATCGGAACGGCCCTGAGATATTAGTGGTGATCTAGTCCTTCATGTCAGCGACGACTGACCTTGCGCCGGCCCGCGCAGGTCGCGGCCGCTGCTGCGCAGTGTGCACGCGCATCCGTGTGTGCTTGCATGTGGGATCTCTTACGGACGGTGTCGCTAATGCCATTACCGCCATGTCACGAATACCCGCGAGATAACCGTCTGTCAGTGGACTGAGGCGTGTGCCTGCGTGAGTGCGAATATAACAGAACAGGTGCAGTGGTGCAGTGCGCTGGTGCGTGACGCAGGTGGCGGGCGGCGGCCGCGTCCTCCCGAATGTTCCGCGTAGGCTTTCAGTGCGCGTTACACCCGCGTTCGACGCTCGTACCCCTCGCGAAGTGATCGCTTAGCCGGATCTCAAAAGTTGAAAAATGAATTTTCGTGGTACGGAGAGACGAGACACTGGGGGGAAAAGGGTAACAGTGTTGAGTGAGTGATCTACCACGGTTACACATTTACGGCTAGTACTTACGTGAACAAATCACCTATCAGCTCTTCACCTCATGTAAAATTCTTCACATTTTTCCCGCCTTTTTCTTCCGGTTTGACAGCATCAATAACTGAATCGTTGCCATTTGTGCGCAAATAATGTAG